GGGAAGGGAAGGGAAGGGAAGGGGAAAGAAAAGATGCTTCATGTTCTTTAGAATTGGTATTGATTTGGGGGCAGGCAAGTACGAGGAAGAGTACAGGGGAAGGTGGACTTCCGAGAAGTCCTTCAGATGGTAGCTCTGTCCTCATCTCTGCCCCCTGGTCCCCAGCGAAGCATCTCTCTCAGGTGCTATTTGGATGTTCTGATGTTTGGATCTGAACGTAAATCGTGTTTTCTTTGGGCTTTGCTTTCCTGTAGCGAACAAAAATAAAAATTTAAGTTAAAATAAACAACATCTTGATTAAGAAACCATTGCAAAGCTGTACACGGGAGAAGTCTGAAAGCAAAAGCTGAGAATAGGATAGCAAATGATACAGGAGGGAAGGGTCTGTTCTGGCTCTCTGCTTATTTTGCTGTGACCCCTGTGCTAAGAATGGTTTCTTACATTTCAAAATAGTTTTTAAAAATTAAAAATAAAATATCATTTTGGACACTTGAAAAGGAGCTGAAATTCAAATTTATCCAAATCCAATTATCCAAATCCAAACGTCAATAAATAAAGCCGGAACCCAGCCACCCTGATTCTTTTATGTACTGTCCACAGCTGCTTTCTTGCTGAAAGGGCGGAAATGAGGATGGTGGCAGAGATTAGATGGCCCCAAAGACCAAAATATCTGCTCCCTGGCTCTTCGCAGAAAGAGCTGGCTGTCCCTTGAAGCAGAGCATCTGCTGTGGCCCGGTTCCCCTCCATCACCGGACAGTCAACGTGCCATTTTGAAGCCGGGGGTTCGGGGGTATCTGTCATTATTTCCTTCCTCGGCAGAGTGGGTTTAACAGTAGCTGCCTCACAGTGCTTTGAGAGCGTGGGGTGAGAAGGCACCTGAAGCTTTCGGTGAGGCTGACGCACTGTGAGCGCTCTGTTAGCTAGCGTGACCCTTCCTCCCAGCCCCTGACTTTTCTTCCTAGAAAGTCGGGAAGAAGATGTAATTGAAATGACCTCTCTGGTCATGGACTGTGGCTACTATTTATGGAATTAGAACAGTGGAGAAGACAGATATGAAACAAGTGATTATTACACATTGTGAAGGGCATCGTCCAGAACAGAGGGTGCACAGGGAGGTGTGGGGCTCAGAACAGAAGCCCCTGACCTCCCCAGGCAGGTCTATGATGATGGGGCAAAGGGATGAACAAAACATCCTAAAAGATGTCAACATGCCTATTAACAAATTATAATGAAACACTTTAAAATCAGGCAGTCAACATCAGCTATATACGTCTACCACTGGGGACCAAAAAGAAGCACACTGTCAGCAATTACAAAAATGGGTTCAAATTAAAATAGGGTATTTGTCCCTTATCAGTACTGAGAAATGCAGAATTTCTCAAAGCGAGGTGCATAGAGGGCTTGAACAGACAGCGTCCTTTAAAGTGCAGGTTCCCGGGCTCCCCCATCCACGTACCAAGTCAAAAACCTAGAAGGCCCAGGAATCTGCACCTTAGCAAGCTCCTTCTGTGATTCTTCTGCATGCTAAGCTTAGGAATCGCTGAGGAGGTCACACAATATGCAGGAAGAATGGAGAAAACCTAGGATTTATGGAATACCTACTATGTGCCCGGCAGTGATTAGTCACTGCCACCTACCTCATCGCACTGAATTCTCACAGCAGCCCTCTAAGTTAAGTGCTATTGTGGCTATTTTTCAGGCAAGGAAGTTAAGGTTCTGCAAGGTTCAATGACATTCCCAAAGTCACGTGGCCAAGTAAGCGACCACAGCCAGGCTGAACCCAGGCCTTAACGACCCCACAGAGCCTCTTCTCCCCGCCTGCCAGGGACGCGCGTGTCCTCGCTGTGGACTCCGTGGAACGGAGCCTAACGACCACTTCAACAAACACTCTCTTCCTTTTTTTACTGCTTCAAGAGTAGCATCTGAGACTCCATTGAAGCCCTTGTCCCCACCACAACAAGGGACATTTTAAGCCATTCTTCTTTGTGAAGAAAGTCACTAAAGAATCTGAACCAACAATTGCTAACAGAACAGACGACTGATTTAAAAATAGCTCCCAACTCAGAGCTGTCAGCTCCGGGGGTGAGTTAGGGAGCTGGCTGATGCGGGTGGTCAGTGTGACAGACACATCGCTCTGTCTCACAGTTTGGACCAGGCGACTGTCAGTCAGAAACGCACACTCATGCTCTCCTGTCTGTCCTTTTAAGCCAGTGGTTACTGTGTTTTGTTTCTCTCTACAGCAGCTCTGGGAGAAACAGAAGGCTGACAATACCTGTAAAGCTCTCCTAACCCTTAAGAGAGAGGAGATGGAGGGTGTTCATGACGTGGGAAGGCAGGTCTAACGTGGCCCCCGGCGTCCCCCAGCAGCCCGGCTCACCTCTGCAGATTCTCCGCGTCCTCGATGGTCTCAGGCAAAGCGACCCCCTTGGTCTCCGGAAGAAGCAGCGTCAATCCCCCGGCAACCAGCCCCACCACCGCTTCAGATGAGACAGATTTCACATGGAGTCGTTAGAGCATGGCCACTACAAGTCGCAGGTGATGACAGCTAACTAAAGAGATGCCTAGGTGACGCGCGTGTGAGGGACACGTAAGGTCAGGAACATCTAGAAAATTACAGCAGTCGGGTAACTGGGGAGACGGCAGAATAAGAAAAGGGCATGTGGCCTTCATTTTACTTTCACGTGAGCATAAAGCTCCACGTACCTGATGTTTAGGTATTGGGGGATTTATTGATTCAGAGACCTCAAGAACAATATGAAGCTCAATTCTGACAAGCTACTATATATATAGATTACTATATTGATAGGCTATAAAGTATTTATAGTAATAATTTATACATAATAGTGTTTATATAGTAACTATAATATATTGTACATAAAATAACATGT